TTCCCAGCACCCACCCACATTGAGGCTAACAACAGTCTTTAACTCCAGTTCCAGGCAATCCAACACCCTCTTCTGACCTCCATGGGTACTCCATGACATGGGTGCATGTTGGAGGACCCTGCCATTAAGGTCATAGTCCACCATGTCCAGACAGCTCTCCGAGCTCGGCTCAAAACTGAGCCCCCTCAGCAGGGGCTTCCTACTCTCTGCCTGACCTTATTTAGAAAGTGTCTCCAAGCACATCTGCCTGACCTTATTTGGAACATGACCTTTGACATAGTTCCCTGCAAATGCTGCCCCTGGTTTTCCCGTATGATAATTAGGCATTGCACTACAGTCAGTCAATCCCACCTCCCCTTTCTACATGATAGGGTCCTCCTGCCACATGTAAATAAAGCATACTATGAACACCTATCAGGTAAAGCTCTGGTTGCTGTCCTCACACTCTCCTCCAACTCCCCTAAATAAATGAGCTGTCTCACTGAAGCTGACTCCTGGAAATTCTTTCCATCATACTCAAGGCTGTCCTGACCCTGTTTGTTGCTTCTGGCCCTTTGTTCTCACAGTGGCCAATGACCCACGAGGGAAGAGAGACACACAGGTGCATTTACATACATGCAGACAACACACTTCAACACATAAAACAAATATAATAAAATATTTTAAAAATTAATCCTTGGTTTGGTGAGTGATGTGAGTGGGTAGTCACAGCTACTCTGGAAGCAGAAGTAGGAGACTTGCTTGAGACCAGCTTGGCCAGGACAGCAAAACCCTGTATTGAAGAAGAAGAAAAAAACAGCCATTGGGTTTTCTGCTAAAACAAGTCAAAAGTATTCTTTGGGGGAGTAGCAAATGTATGGCTTCGCAGTCTCTATTTCTGCCTCTAATTTGAACACCATCTAATGTAACAATTTTTTCCTCATTGTTCTCAAACAAATGTTCTAAGCAGCCAATACCATTAATTAGAGGTAGTATGTGAGACTGAAATCTGTTTGCTCTTCTTGCTCTAGGGCAAAAGAACACAAGCATCTGCTTTACCACCAACTCCCACACAAGCAGCATCTTCACAGTGGCCCTGGGTAACAATTGGAAAGTGTTCCTGTAAAATCAACACACACTAGTACCCGTAGCACCAGCCCACAGAAGCAACTGAAATTGGCCTGTAGTAGAAGAGCAGGCGATCCCTGGAACCACGGACACAAAAGTGTGCTTGGTGTGTATTTATTAGTCCTCCCACCCCCTTGAGACAGGGTCTTTCTACATGATCCAGGCAACGCTCAAACTGGTGATTCTCTTGCTTCAGCCTCTTGAGTGCTAGGATTCTGAGTGTGTCCCACCACACTCAGTAAAATGAGCTTGTTTTTTGAGGGCCATTTGGAAGGGAAGTCAGTCACACAACAATCTTTATTTGAATATAATGGAGCAAAAAATGCTCTTTTATTAATCTGATATACATTAAATATCTTTGCAGCTGTTACATGAATGATAATTATCTGGCATGTAAATGTATAGATACTTCCACATGTGATAGATTTACGCTGTACATGAGCCATCCCACACGGAGCATGCCCTTTCACAAAGATATACATGACTTTCTCAGGACATTTGTGAAAATATACTTGGCCCAACATTTTGGCAATTGGAAATGAGACACAGAAGAGCATACCAGAACGATGAGGTCACAGCAGGATCAGCTGTACTTGAGATGAAAACTCCAGAAATCTGAAACGGAATTACTGAGGTTCACACATGCAGCACATATATACAGTACAATAGGGGTAACTAGAGCAAACACAGCAGGAGAGCTTACAGAGCATTTAAAATAGGAAAGAGAAAGAACACAAAGCAAAATGCCCATCCACCAAAGAAAGGACAGGGTCATTGCCAAGATCCCATTGCCAAAAAAGAGAGCAGATTGTAGGCTTAGTGGGTGTCCAAGATGGAAGCACGCCTGGAGAAACATCTTCTAGGATTTCCTTTATGCAGCTAGACATTAATAAAGGGCAATAGGTCTGTTCAATGTGTTCCTGGGTCAAGCAGGGAATAAATGCACAACCACATTTTAGAAGGAACAAACCAAGAAGGAACATTTCTCTTTGCTTTTACTTATTTAAAACGTAGACTCAGTACAATAAATATGTAACAGTCACAGTGAAAATGAAATTAAGTTAATCCATCAAGTTCTATCAAGGTGGGCCTGGTGAACATTAGAAGCAAGGATGGTGTTTCCTTTGTGGAGGACAACTAGGGTGTCAGAAGGGAGACTCTTTCCAACTTTTAGTTTGTAAGCATGAAATAGCTAATTTACTCCACATTCTCCATGAAGGAACACCACCCAAAGAGGGCAGAGGGTCTCTGCCTGGCTGGTCCTATTCTGACTCTATATGAAGAAAGAAGCCTGTGAGCACTAACATGCAATTGAGCTTGCTAAATCTTCCTTCCCTTGGACTTAAGGGTAATACTAACTCACAAGTCCATGGGGACATTCAGCTCCACACGGCCTGGGTCTGTATGTTGGGAAGTCAAGTATTCTACCCCTCCCCACTCTGATGAATCCAGGGCCCTATGCCTCCTAGACAAGCATTCTATTGTTGAGCTATGGGAACCCAAACACTCTTCAGGGCTTCAGACAGTGAAACACTGGTAAATGTTTGACAACGCCTGGGGTGGGGTCAAGGCAGGAGGAGTCTGATTTGTAGCATCTGTTGATTTCTGTGCTATAAATAGTACTACACTGGAGGATCTCAGCATAACACCACTGGCCCTGGCACTGGGAATGTAAGTGCAATAGTATACCATTATATAATATTTCTCTAATACAGATATAATAGACATTGCCTCAAAGGCATGGCCAATAGCAAAATGTAGCAAAATAGGTAGAGAGTTTTGAAAATATATTAACTGTTCTTAAATATAACTTAATTGTATTTAATTTTTAATAATGGCTATGCTTCTTTACTAGCTTTCAAACTTTCTATACTTAAGCAACTGGTTCTGATGAACTGGTTTGAGCCTGTTGCCAGCCATTGCTAGCTTGAGATAATGTCAGCCCATGTATGCTGGCTGGCCAGGTCCTCTCTGGGCACCAGAAAGCTGCTTAGGATACTGTACCTTGCTGCAGGGGAAGATCACTGACTTGGTGTTAAAACTTATCCAAGTTTGACCTAATAGCTGAAGCCTGCTAACTCTTTCTAGTTCTCAGTTTTCTTGGCTCTAGGGCATATACAAATATGGTAGGGCAGGCAGAGGGTGGGCATCTTTTACTATTTCAGCATCTAACTTTCAACATTCAGTAGATACTTATACAGATAAGGAGAGGCCAGGTGCCATCTACTTCCCACAGGCCAATGAATACCATGCATCTAGCCAGGGATGTCCCTTTTAGGAGCCAAAGGGTGTCATACTTCTCAGAGATGGGCCTCTCTGGTTCCATGCAAAACCTGAGCATCCTATCAGGGTGCAGGGCTGGGAAGTCATCAGAAATCCAGACCTTTACAGGGAGCTATGGAGAGCCACCTTGCCCTACTCTCATTCCCCCAGTTCTCCATCCTCTGCACCATGAAGGCACAGACCTGCATATTCTTGGTCCCAAGTGCCTCAGGAAAGCTTACCCTCACCTTTGTACATTTCTAGGTGACAAGAGGCAGAAAGGGGGAAGGACAGCAAGGAAAGGAAGAAAGTGAGCATGCACTGACCAGAGAACGGAGTTAGTGGGGAAAAAGGCAACTGGGGCTCAGAGGTCCCTGACAACCACTCCTTCTTGGAGGCTCCCAAACTCCAAAGGTCCTTTGCAGCTTCAAGACCCTTGACAATAATCCCACACTAGTTTCAAGCTGAAATTTGCTAACTGCCCTGCAGCTGGCTATCAGAACCTGTTTTCTGGGTGGTTTATCTGCTGACAGTAGACAAGGGGAAGCTGCTGTGGGATATCTGCAAAGACAGTTTGACTGGGTCACAAATCTCCAACATCAGAAAGGAAATACTCTGGGGAAGATGGGAGTAGAGGCCAGAGAGCAGCAGTCAGTTATCAGGGCTACCTGAGGAGGCTGGAGCACTCAAGTGTCCATGGGGTGGGTGTGTATGTGGTGGTGGGGGGGGACATACTTCTCAGCTCCCTGACAAGAACAGCTCTGGAGAAAGCAAGTCTTTAAAATGAATATCTCCATAAAGATGAGGGCTATTTATGCTGTTCACTCATCTTTGAACAGTATCTCAGTGCAATTTCCTGCTGAGGTCATTTGAAGAAATAACATATGGATGGATGCATTTTTCTGTTTGCCAGGTACTGCTCAGTAGTCCGTCTCACAAAGGCCATCCAACTAACATACTTTTTCTTCTGTCACAGGTAATCCTAGTTAGTATAGGCTACAGCTTGTTTTAAACTTGGAAAAATAGTACGTTGTGATTATAGAGAGTAAGAGAGGCTTAACATGTAATACGAGACAATATGAGATTGTCTGGGATTTCATTCCCCCCACCGGCTTTCTCTATTTTCACTGAAATCCTGCAGGGTTAAATATTTGCACACAACCCAGTGCCATACCACCTAGCAGAGTGGGGGTGATCAGCCAAATTTATATAATAATCATATGAGAACGGACCCAAAGCTCTGTCCAACTCTCTCACCCAGTTCTACCAGTTTTAATCAATAGCCTTAACAGAGCCACGTACCTGTGTAGCCTAAAATGTTGGGACTGCTAAATTGCATCTAGATGTTTAGAAAAACTGAAGGAAGCCCCAGCAATGGCTGGTGTGTGTGGCGGTGAAAGATCGTCAATGGGAATACTCAACAGTGAAAGCAACAGAACAGTACACGGAGAATTGCCAATTTCCTGAAACGAAGAAGGCACACGAAATACACGGAGGAGAGTCTGACAAGTTCCTTTTATCTACGTTGCACAGATTACAAGAGAATTTTTTTTTTGTCTTTTTTGAAACAGGGTCTCCCTGTACCCCCAGCTGGCCTGGAACTCACTATGCAGACCAGGCTGGCCTCGAACTCACAGAGATCCGCCTGCCTCTGCCTCCTGAGTGCTGGGACTAAAGGCGTGCGCCACTGTACCCGGCTTACAAGAGAAATTTTTACCTAAAATACACTTCGTATGGTACAACAGAAATGGGAAGAAGTACATCGTCCACTTTAGACACTCTACTGTGCAGATTTCTTTTTGTTGCCTCAATGTGACTTTTTGTGGGTAGGTAGTTGATAGCTAGACTAAATTTGGCAAATATGAGAATTTAAGGGAAACGTAATATACAACCACCAGGCCTCAGACAACATGTCAGTTGTCTATGATTCCAGGTAAAGGTCAAATTCAGGTATTCCTGGTTTCAAAGCCTTTTGTGTTTAAACAGGTATGTAAAAGTCATTCTGTTATAAAATAGAAACAAATTGGAGAGTATCATATTCTATTTTGGTTGGCAGAAGAAATCAGAAATATTCCCATGCAATGTGTTCGGACATGACTAGAGTTTAGAATGTCCCCCAGGTATGTGAATCTCATCATTGGAACTTTATCAACGGTATCCGGAACTCTCCCTTGGTCACCAAAGTTCTTTCCCCACCCCCACTTTGATCTCCTAAGACATTCTGAAAAACAGAAAATGAGTTTTGGGTGAAAACTTGAACTCTAATTCAGTGGGATTTGTAAATAAAGGACCATCTGCCAATTTAGTGTTCCACTGAGAAACACTGGTCCTGGTAGCCTATGTCTACTTAAGGCAACCTTTCAAGAAGACAGTGGACATGATTTTATAGGGCTGAAGGATGTGGGACTACTTCCATCGGGCAGTCTTCTAACTGCAGGGTATCTGCCAGGGTAGCCCATTTTCTGGATGGGCAATGATAAACCCCAAGAATGGGCAGCACAGACAACATGAGAATTGTAATGGCTTATACTACAAGGTTTTCTCAAGAAATTCCTGTCCTCTTTGTATAATTTTTGTATACTTTATATACTTCCCAATTTTTGAATATATTGTAAAGATGAGCATAGTATCAGAAGATAGACAAGATGAAGCTATTTATTTCCTATGGTATCTTAGAGAATAAATTATTTTACTCTACAGATGGGGAAACTGAGGACCGCTAAGTCCAGTGACTTAATTCTTGGCCTTTTGGCTAAGAACAAGTACATTCTCAGCAAGATCTGGGCTCATGGCTGCTTGGAGCTTGGGGCTGAGACTCAGAGATCTTGTCTTTTGGGTCAGTACTCAGGTGTGAGAGGAATCAGACAGCAGGACTGAGTGGCCTTAAAGGCTGTCTGCTTTAATGCCTATGGTAAAGATGAGAAGATTCAGTGACAAGACTCTGGAGCATTCTGGACTGATTCCAAAGACCAATGTGGAAATTTTAGTTAGAAGAGACTTGGACATAGAGGTGCCACCAGGGCTGTTTGCTTAGCTTTCAGTTTTGTACCAACTTTCAGTTCCTTCTCCTGTAGATGAAATGGGTTGGTAGTTGCCTGCCCCGGTGCCTGCTTCTCTTTAATCTCTAGCTAAACCTGAACAAGCCATGCCGCATATTTGGGAAACAATTTGAACTCATCATGGACAATAAAGGTGATTCACAATGAAGGAGGCAGAGGAAAACGCACAGAAGGTAGAAAAGGTGGTGACCGAGAAGGTTTGTGACCAGAGACTGTCCAGAAGATTAGGAGAGATCCTTCTTGGGCCACCTAGGAGGCTTGAGTAGGTGACTGGAAGCTAAGAATGGTCCTTCTGAAGGGGACACCTGGTGGAAGATCTTAGGAAGCAGGTTCATGCTGACCCAACCCAGCATCCAGATACAATTTTGAATAACTGCCTTGTAGTTTGGGAGATTTTATGCAGCTAGACTGTAGAGCAGAGAATAGAGGCATTCTAAGAACTAATGCTAGTCCTGTAAGTTCACCACCACTCCAGACTGGAGAAAGCAACACTCTTGTACGTCTGTTTTTCTCTTTTGGATGGGCAGATGGAGATTTGGATCTTCCTTTTGTAGTGATTTCTGTGCATGCCTCATTCATCCAAAAGATCTGCTCTGGTGCCTAAACAAGTTCAGGGGCAGACAGGGAGAAACACTGTGTCATATGGAAAAAGAATAATATGCAAGGTACTTTCTTGGGTTTTTAAATGCAGTCTTTGTTTTCCAGGCTATGAAAGGAGGTAGGAGTGAGAGTAAACTGTGTTTTCTTCCCTGCTTTGCTGGTATCTTTTGATTCAATCATGCCTAGTCTTTATTGATTTTCCTTCTTTTGGACAACTTTGTAGATTTTATTCTGATATCCTTGATGTTCTGGCCCTGAGTACCTGTATATCCCCAGGGAACCACCCTCTTCCTGCCATTCTCCCCTCCCATCCTAACTCTAGGCTGTGCCCTCTACCAGGCCTAAATGACTTGGTGCGGACAGTGGATTAATGGTTTATGTTAATCAAAGAGCTTTTCACAAAATCCGAGCTCCAGGAGGGATCATGGGGTATGATGGGGGAGGGGAAGCAGAGGGGCCTCCAGGGGGCTGGGACATCGCTGAACATAATGATTAGTGGAAACAAAAGCTTGCTCTTTCTGGAGGCCCCAGGGCTGTGGCCCTGCTGGAAATGCTTAAAATAAAAGAATCACCCTTTAAGAAAACCCAGAGTTAAAAAGGGAATATCATTTAAACATTAGATTTATTCTGCCTGATGTTACAGGCTGCAAATCTATAAGGAAGCTTCAGATTTCAAAGATGTGTTAAAAGGATGGGCCTGCGGGGAGGGGCAGCCAGTGGGAAACCAGAAGATATTGCTGTCTGCTGGTCCATGGAAACGTCCTGCTGACCTCTCACTTCCCTGCCCAGAAAGTTTCCAAAGGTAAAACAGGCAAACAGCCACCAGGATATGCTGAACTTTCTGCCAGAGGGGTGCTTGGGAGTGCATGCAGGCTCGGAACCCATCCAGAGGCTAGGCTGGGAACCCATAACCCAGGGAAGTTGGAGGGACAGGACCTATGGAAATACCAGCTTGGAAAGGGAATGACAGTTCACCAAAGAGGCTGGGTGGGGTTTTGTCCCTCAAGAAACAGCACAGGAAGAGGTGCCGTTTTGCATCTCTAAATGGCTTTGGTTGTACAATTCTTTCGAATTAGGAATTTCCAACAATTCAGATACGCCAAGTTCTGGAGCAGGGGTTAGGCAGGAGCAGTGGATTAACAGGCAGATACAGTTTTTAAAGAAGTGGCTTTCTTTCCCTGCATCTGCTATCTGGCAAGTTCTGGGGCAGCTTGAGGGGGAAGAGCAGAAAGAGACAGAGATCTCTGATCTCTGGTTTTGAAATAGGTGATCTGCATGCCATACTCACAGACACTGTAACGGCCAGAGCCCTCACTTTGTCAGTTTTGTTGGGCTTTCTTTCAAAATCTGGTATCTGCAGCTCAAGCAGATTTTTGCTGTCACCTGGGGACAGACTTCATTTTTCTCGTTAGCAGAGTCACCTTAATTGTCATGCTGGAAGAGCCCCACCCAGGCATATTTGCTACCACATGGTTTTCTTTGAAAGGCCCTGTTGTCACAGTGAGAAGGGCTGGGTGTCCTTTTCTAAGTAAACAGGAAATATCACTCTGCCTGAAAAAAAAGGACTCCCTTTCCTCAGCACAAACTCAATTATGCCAACTTATACTTCCTGTTAATGGTGCACCAGCAGGGTCTGTTTCTTACATTACAATCTTTTTTAGCTTCTCAGCTTCAATGAGCAGAATCTGAGTCTGGCTGACTGGGACTGTTGAGAAACACTTTCCACAGATGTGTTGGGAGGCAGTAGCAACACAGTTAGGAAAACAGAATGCATGAGGAAAAACGAACAGTGCAAAGTCACATTGGAGGGGCAAGACAAACGCATCTACATTTTAAGTCACAGCAAAAGTTTGTGTTCTGATACTCGGCCACCTTTCTATACATGAAAACTTCCAAGGTTTGAGTCAGGCAGAACTGACCTACAGTGGGAGAAGGAAATGGAAAGAATGGCTTTTGTTCCATCACATCAGAACCTGGGTTCGTGTGTCGGGTAGGCGTAGCCCCACGAGTCCTCCACACACGAGCACAGTGGAAGCCAGCAGGATAGGGATTGCTTTGGTGATGCCGACCAGGGAACCGAATATTAAGTTTCCCAGGACAGCTGCTGCTTTGCACAGTGCATTTAAGAAGCCGAAGCCTGTCGCCCTGCAAAGGAAAGAAACAGGGACGTGGTTAAGAAAATGTATTCCACCTTTAGACCTGTATGTAGTAATCTTCAATGGTCCTCAAGTAGATTGTGTTGTATGTCAATGGAGCAAATAATTAGATGTCTGTTAGCAAATGTGAGGGAAGAGAGGCCAGCTGTTGGTATTGTGCCTTCAGCCTCCTGCTGATTTTCTTAGCACCTCTACTGACTCTTATTCTGACCCTAGGCTCCATCATGAATAGCAAGATAAGGGAGAAGAAAGCATGGTTGTCCTTTCTTGGTACAATAAGTGTTTGAAGGAAGGTTCTAGTAAGTCAAAATTAATTTTACCCCATCTAACTCCTCACAGGATAGAGAGGCATGAAACCCTGTTCCCTTGGGAGTCAGCTCACCTCTACTCAGCATGGGAGAAGCTGGGCCACCTCCTCTGACCCTGGGCAAAGGTCTGAGAGGGTGACTTTGAGAAGGTGAGTAGGGTCTCAATCTCTACAAAAGTGACTTGCTGTTTTGTTTTGTAATTATCCATAATTTCAGCAACATCTATTATTAAAAGGAAATTTAAATTTCATTTCATAGTTAAATAAAATGATACAGCAATGGATTTCTTTATTCTTTGCTTCTGATCTACGTGACTATACTAGATTTTATTTTGCTTTTACTTTTCTGAATTTATTTGTCATGTGTGTGTGCATGTGTATGTGGATAGGCATGTCATGGTATACACGTGGAAGTCAGAGGACACCTTGTGGGAATCAGCAGTTCTCTCCTTCTACCATGTGGGTCCCAGGGATTGAACTCAGATCATCAGGCTTTTACTCACTGAGCCATCTCATCTACCCTTGTTTTTTTTTTGTTTTTTTTTAAGATAAGATCTTGCTTGATGTATAGCCCAGGCTGGCCTTGAACTTTTGAGATCCCTTTGCCTCAGCCTCTCAATACTGTGATTTCAGATGTGTGCCACCAAGTCAGCATAATGTGCTAGGTTCGAAACAATTAAGTCAACTGAATTTACAGAGAGGGAAAATCAGGGATGGTGGAGGGGCATCTTCATCTTTCAGGTACTATGAAGGTGAGCGCCCATGCTGTCATTCTTAATGTTTTTGCTAACATGTAGAAAACAAATGCAGCTTGAGTATTCTTTATCTGCCATGCTTGGAATCATAAATGTTTCAGAATGGAGTCTGGACTATTTGATAGACATTACCAATTGAGCATTCTTAATCTGGAAATCTGAAATTCAAAGTGCTTCAAAATCTGAAACTTATAAACACCTTGGTGTTCAGATTAGAAATGTACAACATTAGGAATGGATGAGCTAGGTGGCTTGCCAATGAGCTAATATAACATTTATCATGGCCTGGGGAGGTGGCCCAGTGGGTCTGAGTGCTTGTCATGAAAGCAAGAGGACCTGAGTTCAAATCCCTAGCACTCATGTAAAATAAAGCATGGCTGTACATGCTTGTGACCCCAGTGCTAGGGGACAGAGAAGGGTGGATCCTGAGAGCTTCCTGGCCAGCCAGTCTAACCAAAATGGTGAGCTTCTGGTTCAGTGAGAGACTCTGTTAAAAAAAGGGGGTGGGGGGAGACGCTAGAGAAATGGCTTAGAGGTTAAGAGCACTGATTGTTCTTGCAGAGACCCAGATTCGATTCCCAGCACCACATGGCAGCTAACAACCACCCATGACTCCAGTGCCAGGGGATCTGACGCCCTCTTCTGACCTCTGTGGGTACTGTACAAAACGAGTGCACTTACTAACAAGAAGGCAATACATTCATACACATAAAATAATAATAAATTTTTTGGAGGGGTTCTTTTTTTGAGACACAGTCTCCCTGTAGCCCCGGCTGGCCTAGAACTCACTTTGTAGACCAGGCTGGCCTTGAACTCACAGAGATCCACCTGCCTCTGCCTCCCAAGTGCTAAATATTTTTTTAAAAAAGGAGAAAAGATGGACAGCAATAGAGGAAGACATCTGATGTCCTCTGGCCTCCACATATGTGCACATAGGTGTGTACCTGGATACAACATGTGCACATATACCACACAGCATGTTACACACACACACACACACACACACACACACACACACACACACACACAATTATATTCTCATTAGCATTCTCTATGGGAGATAGAAACCAAGAGAAAATGTTATGGAAGAGATTAGATATTGTGGGCCTAGGGATCTTGTTCACTGTCTTTGTTAGCATTTAAGATGAGAAGGCAGGGCTGAGAGATGGCTTGGTGTTTGAGTATGCACTGCTCTTGTAGAGACTCAAGTTTGGCTCTCAGTACCTACCTCCTGTATCTCTAGTCCCATGGTATTAAATGTCCTCCTCTGGCCTCCTCAGGCACTGCACTCATGTATACAAACCCATACAAATAATTAAAAACAAAAATAAAATCTAAAATCTTATAAAAGTACAGGCTCTTCCCTTCTCCTCTCCCTCCTTCCCTCCCTCCTTCTTTCTCTTCTTTTTCTGCCTTCCATATTCTCTCCCTCCCTCCCTCCCTTTCCTTCCTTCCTTTCTCTCTCTCTCTCTCTCTCTCTCTCTCTCTCTCTCTCTTTCTTTCTATCTTTCGAGACAGGGTCTTACTATGTAGACAAGGATCCCAGGTGCTGGGATCAAAGGCCTGTGCCACCAGGCCTTTTGTGTGTTGGGAACTGAACCCAGGGCCTCAGGCATACTAAGCATGTGCTCTATAACTGAGCTTTACCCTCAGTACCCACATGTAACTTCTTAAGACACTCTTTCCAAATGAAAAATATGTATTTCATATACTACATCTTAATCATATTTAGACCCCCTCCCCAGCTGCACCCCTAAAGCCCCCCCCACCAGATTTCATGCACTCTGTCATATATGTTAAGGCCTATTGAGTCAAGCTTTTGTACCCAGATGTCCCTCAGTGCATATTTATCCATTGGTTCTTTTAAAAAAATTGACAGACTTTTTGGGAGAAGGCTTGGGATTATCAATGAGGACATTAAGAGTGAATGAAAAGTAAAACAAGGCTGGGCATGGTGGCACGGGCCTGTGATATCAGCACTCAGGAGGCAGAGAAAGGAGGGTCATTGCAAGTTCAAGGCCAGCTCGTACTGTAGAACAAGACTTATCTTAAGAAAAAAAAAAAAGAAAGAAAAATAAAGTAGAGGGAGAATTCCCACATGTCCCAGTTTCCCCTACTAACCTACATTGGAGTAGTGTATTTATTACGCTGGGTGGGCTAACATTAAATAATACTGACACACTATCCATAATTAAAGTTTACTGCTAACATCAGGGCTCACTCTGGGTGTTGTGCATACTAGAGGTTTTGACAAATATATAATGACACGTAGCCACTAATACAGCAGCATCCACAATAACAGCTTCATGGCCCCAAGAGTCTGCTGGGTGTCACCTGTTCATGTTGCCCTCTCCCAGGCCCTGGCTTCCATTGGTTTCTTTATAGTTTGTCTTCTCTAGAATGACACTTAGAATCATTTACCATGTGGTACTTTCAGGCTGAACTCTTTCACCGCTGTCTTTTGTTTCCATTTGTCTTATGACCTTTTTATTTTTCATTCATTTATTTATTTTGTGATTTGTTGCATGTGTGGAGGTCAGAGGACAACTTGGGAGAATTGGCTCTGTCCTTCCTTTACGTGGGTTCTGGGGATCAAACTTAGGCAATGAGACTTGGTGGCAAGCACTTTTTTCCACTGAACCATCTCTCTTTAGCCCAATTTGTTTTTTGACACAGGTTTGAGGCTGGCTCAGAAGTTGCTGCCCAGGCTGGTCTTAAATTTGCGGCAATTCTCCTGCCTCAGCTTCCCGAGTGCTGAGATCACAGACATGAACCACCACACTTGGTTTCTTCATTGTCTACATTACATTTTAGTTTCCAGAGTCATGAACCACCCACTTCATCTCATGTTGTTAAGATAAAGCACATCCTGCTGGGAAAATAGCAAGTCTGTGTGTGTTGCTGATAAGAGAAAGGAAAACCTTCCCTGTCATGAAGTCTCTGATGCTGAAGCTGCAGAACCATGTAGGATTTACATCTGAGTAGAACGATATGTGTTCCCAATGCCGCGAGCCTCACCTGTGACCCAGAACAGACTATCAAAGGTGGGCAGCTATCTCCGTGTCCCACTGGAAGAGCAAGTGGAATGTGGGTGACTTCTTAAGTTGTCTGGGCAGCAAGGATGACATTTGCATCTTGAGCATCTGGTATCTGAGGCTTCTAAAGAATATGATCAAACCCTTATTAAGAACCTCTGTTTCCACTGCCCAAGCTGAGACTGTACTTCAGATGAAAAATCTGGCGTGGATGTGGACTCCTTAAATTAGTGTCAGCATTCAAGAAATCGTGCCTGCTCTTGGTATGTGAATTATTCCTTCAAATATCTGCAGCTGGAGAGTGTGACATTCAATGCATCTGAGGCACAGCTGCATCAGAAAAGCCATTTGCAGAGTGACTTTCCCTATGTGTTATCTGTTTGAAAAAACTCTTAGTTCGTTCACTCCCGGTTCTTTCTGAAGGCAAGGATATCACTGCTTCGAACATGCCAGTGCAGGTCACCTCACACTCATAAAGTCCTTTAAGGGTAGGGAGCCCAGAGTGTGAGGAGCCTCCTCTGATTTCCCAGCAGCAGGCTGGGCTCCTGCATTAGTTTCCTGACCAAAGATGTCTTCCTGCCTTCTTTTATGTAGCCGTCGTCCAAAGGGAAGAGGGGAATGATGTTACCACTTTATAAGCTCCGTCCTTTGCACTTCATCTCTCCAGACTTTGTTCACTGTTATTGCTTAGACAAATTGTTAACGTGTAAGTTCTTTCCCTACACAGACCCTGTCCCTTCAGGAGCTCCATTCCCCATTCCATCCAGGCACGCCTTGTGCCTGCACCATAAACTCACTCCATTTGAGACTCATTGCAGAGCTGGCTTGCAGAAGCACTGAGACTTATCTGATAGGGGACAAGGCCACCACCGTGTCCCCTCCCTGAGACAGG